AGTGTTTCGGCTGACCTTTGACCTCAACCGGTCCTTGCATTCGCCAAGTAAAAAGTCTGCAATGAAAGCTAAACATATACCCTAAACCCACAAAAATGGCATGTCGCAAAGGCCAGCCAATCTCCTAATGGCTAAATAAACATTGGGTAATGCCCAATGCCCACCCTGTAATAGTCCATATTAGGGGTCGTATTAAGGAATATACTCTATATGACTATATGATAACATTTATCCGACTGTTACAGAGTGGGGGCAGTACCCCAAACAAACACGGGATTTCCCGCTCAGCGGCGCTCAGCGACACGCTGCGTCCCAGCTCCCGGCGCCGTAGACATTGGACCTGCAAAAGCTTGCTAGGGTTTGTGTTTGGGCTTTGGAGTGTAGGGTTTAGAGTTCAAGCGATGTTGAGTTTTCTACAACATGCTGTGCCGCAGTCTACTCATAAGTAAGGCAGTGTTGAATCCCAATCGTACATTGTACGAACGACGCATATCGAGAGCCACAATCAATCATCCGGGATCCACTACATTCTCCATCATAGTGTATATAAACCTACCATACTATGGTGATGTCCACTTGGCTTTGCATCTGACTCTCAAACCCTCAACCCTAAACTCTAAATCTTGAACCAGAAACCCTGAACCCTGACCCTAAACTGAGGCTATAGCATGCCTTTTGAAAATTTCACCTGTCGGCAACCGCAAACGGCGGAAATATTGGTGTTTCAGGGTTGAGGGTGTAGGTGTTTCCAAAAATTGGAATCCCTCGTTGGGGATCCTTGTAGGAGGGAAATTGAGATATTAATATGGTGAGACCCCAATTGTTGAAAAGTCCATGTTGTAGCTTACAAATGCTACAACTAAGCCAAGCCCGTGGTACAATAACTCAAAACCCTAGGCCCGACACCCCTAAACCCGCCAAACCCCCTAAACCTTAATCCCTCGGCCCTAAGCCCTTATCCCTAAACCCCATAAACCTAAAAACCCCAAACCCTAAACCCATATCCCTAAACCCTAAACCCTTATCCCTAAACTCTAGACCCTAATCCCTTATCCCTAAACCCTAAACCCTCTTTCAGGCCTGCAGGTCGGACATGGTGACACTGTACCGGAGGAAAGTTTTCGAATAAGCAAGTCGCCAGGCTCAAACCTGAAAGGGGTCATATTGGGGTTATCTTAGGGTTATATTCGTATTATAGTAGGGTTGTATTGGGGGTCTATTTGGGTTCTATTGGGTTACATATAGGGATAATGGAAAGATTGAAACTAAGGTTTAATGTTCAGTTTCTTTTTTTTTGGGGGGGGGAGGGGGGGTGGGTGGAGCCTTTTTCCAACTGCACGATTCGATCAGAAAGCGTTTAGCGTGTAGGGTTTAGGGGCTCAAGGTTACATATGAGGGCTTGGGTTTCCGAACCGCAGGAATATTTCCGTGCGCTTTCCAGTGTCGGTGGGATGAGACTGCACATGACTACAATAATGTGGTAGTTCACATGCTTCTTTCCACTGGTGACGGAACAGAAGCTGGAAATTACGTCAATGCTGTAGGAGTTACCATTCCAAGTTCCATACGTCACGAGAATGGAAGCTACGTCGCATCCAGTGTCGTTTTGCACATTTTCTTCAAACATGGGAGTAACTACTGCAATTTCATGGTCGTTGCCACGCTCTCTTCCATTGGCCTTTTTTTTGTGATGGAGAAGAATATCCGAACTGCTACAATATTATGTTGTGCGAATCCATTGACCTGTCTCATTCTAATTGCAGTTCTGACCAATTTCTTTTGCAACTCCACTGGAATGGAAATGTGGTCGCTGGCATGTCGTTTCTTTCCATGCTGAGTAGAAAGAAACAAGTCACCACAATACATTTGTTCTAATTCTATTGCCCTTTCCCCTTCAGATGCGAAAAGCAATGGACATTTCTGGACATGAGTATTCAGATCCCGAACCCTAAACCCTAAGATCCCCAAACCCAAAAAAAACTCAGTTTGTACAGTAGCTTAGGCTGTGGGAGAGTGGTGCTTCAGGTTCGGGAGCTCACTCAGGCTTTAGGGGGTGGGCCCGAGTGCTTCAGGGGGTCACAGTTTGGGGGTTAGGGTTACAAAGGTTTAGGGGTTTAGGCTTCGGGTGGTTGCACGATTCCATGAATGAAGCTAAGGGGGCCTAAACCCTAAGCCCATGAAACTATGAACATGCCGGCGGACTGATGCTCGTCCTCTCCAACATTGCGACGTCCATGTAGTCGACCCCCATGCATGGAAGCCCACTTGTTGAAAATCCTCACGTCCACCAGGCCCTGTCGTTGACGCATTGTGTTCGAGGCTTAGGGCAGCAGGGTAACTGTACCAAGACCCTTGGGACACTCAGCGGAGGACCCCCTATTTCCCCCGAACATCCACCTCGTTCTCCAATGCCACCGGATTGTCCGAGTCGTCGTAGCGGCATTGGCGTACCGTGATCACCACCGAGCTGGCCGAGGCAAAGTCGATGTCCGCGTCAAAGTTGAAGTACTTGCCAATGGTGCCACTGACGTGGTGCCTTACTGGCGCTTACAGCGAAGCGGGGAGCGAGAGTTGCTCGGACTATACAGCGACCACTCCAGAGATTTATACGGATGTGCTCCCCCCCAAATCCCCCAAAACCCAAACCCTTACGCACCAGTAGCCTGACATTCACCACGTCGATGAAGTCAGGGCTAGGGCACTCGGACTCCCAGGATCGAGTTCCGACATTTGTCCTGCAAACGGGGCAGGCCACAGTTGGATTCAGCAGCAGAAGGTCCCCTTGCTCGCTGGTTGATGTCTGAGAGAGCGGAAGGGTCCCTGCGGCCGTGGTACTGGCCCTCGGAGGATGCCGAAATTCCCCAAATTACCACCTTCACCTGCAGGTTGTGGTGGCGGTTGTGGAACTCCTCGCTCCTGACGCTGCCGTCCTGATGGTAACGGCACTGCCTTACCCAGTAGGTGGCGCGTTCATCTGGGTCGTGGTCCCATGCTTCATCCGGATCGAAGTTAAAGTACTTGCCCTGATTGCTCCACGCAGAATTATGCGCGGTGCCCTTGACATGTATCACACGGCTAGGGGAGTAGCAGGGAAGATCCCAATCACGCCCGCGGAAGTTCGTCTGACATGCTGGACAAGACAACCCGGACACCGCCGAAAAGCTTGACTCCATGATAAGCACATCACCTGTGACAAAGTCGCCGATGCTGTTGGAAGTAGCCTTGAACTTGGGGACAATTGTGAGGCTTTAACTGTGCTAAGGACTAGCGGAGGACCCCAGATTCCCAACTAAGCAGAAACAATAGGAACAAGTAGCTGCCGTCCCACCGGACTCCAAGCGCCCATGAGCGTTGCCACGCTTCACTGAGGCTTGACTGTTGAAAATCCGCGCCTCAAACACACGGTTGTGGTGATTGGACTCCCCAAACTCGCTGGGAAGGGGCTTGTAACGGTGCTCACCACTTTGCTGGTACCGGCACTGTCTCAGGAGTGGTTTGAAGGAGTTGCCGTTCTCTGACAGTTCGTCGAAGCGCAGGCCGAGGTCATCGCGGTTGAAGTTGAAAAACATCCCCTCGTCTTGCGTATCATGATGAGTGTGGAGGACCTTGATGAGGCGCACTGGCTGGTCGACAGTGATGCCCCAAAGTCCAAACCATCGAGTATTCCCTGCCACGCTGCACGAGGATGAACTTATACTGCCAATAGCCTCCCCAACCCTATAGAAGGACGCGCCAGTGACCGGAGACACCTCAACTTCCGAGATGATAGCACCCTTCAAGTCAAACTGCCAGAAAAGCTCATCATTCACGGTCACCCACAGCCGTCCCTCGGACCGTCGGGTTCGGACCTGCACAGAGGAAAAACTCTTCAACGGTTTAGTCTTTAAAGTAGGATGCTGCATGCAAATCCCCTTGTCACCTAGGCAGCACCCTCAACACCATATGTTGGAAGCTGTTGCTGTCCCTCCTTCAAGTGTCCCTTCCTCTTCTGGCCTTGTGCCACTTCTCCAAGGGCAAGGAGTTTTCGCGCACCGACAGAATAGTGCCTGGTTTAAACAAAGGGGCCACTGGCCATGATGGCCGTTGATGTTCGGATTCCGGTTGCAGCGCAGTACGGCGTTGGTACGCAATAAGAATAATCAACACCATAGTAGCATTGTGACTGATAACCTACTTGTGCGCAATAGGTCGTGCTGAGGGTGCCCTGAAGGAAGAGATAATTGTCTTCGCCGTTGATCTTGAAGATCAGCGTGGGCATGTTCAGCACGTAGAAACTCATGTCCCATTGGAGAACTCCTGCAAGAAAACTCTCACACTGGCGCATGACTTGTTTCCGTCTAACATTCAACGAATAAAGCAAAAGAACATGCAAACTGTTGCAGGTGTCCTTTATCCAACCGGATACGTGTAGGAGGGTCATCTTGCCCATTGTGCAGGAAAGTCGACTATTTTGTGCCTCCCCAAATCTGGGCCTGACACACGAAGCTCAGCATGCTGGAGCAAAATGGGTCGGCAAAGGCTTGCTGGCCTTTGCTTGAGACGATGAGGACCAGCGACACGACAGGAAGATCCTCCCACTGAAACTCCAGCACCTTCGATGTGACAGAGAAGTCGAAGTGGAAGGGGATTTCCGTGGAATCCCAATCCCCAAACATGTCCTTCAAGTTGTTGTGCCATCGATCGGTGTGAAACCGAGCTCCAATGTCGGTTACACCGCTTGCCTTGTAGGCAATGAGCCTTGCCTGGCCACGAGCTCGCGGCAGCCTCACTGTCCATGTTCCGCTTGACGAACCGTCTCTTGTTGTCCTGGATTGTCATTGAAGCCTATTGAAAATCATTGGTTACTATTCAGGTCCTGTATACACGCGGGACTCCGGACATTGCGAAAGGTCCCCCAAAAACAATCGAGTTTCTTGAAAGTCTGGACCCCGTTCATCAGGACCTCTGCTGACTCGAAGAGGTTCTTCTGGACTGCTTGGAAGAGCTCCATTTTTCTCACCTCACCATCGACATGCTCTGGGATGGGGAAGAACTCGTCCTTGTCGCCCTTGACCTTGTCCAGCCGCTTGTAGATGAACTTGTCGCGGGTGTTGAAATACAGCTTCCGATATCACCTCCAAGGCATAGGAAACCTCCAGGCGAAGCTTTGGCGATTCGCAAGTCCTTTGGCAGGCAGTCTGGCCAAAGCCACAACAGTCTTGGACCAGTGAGGGGCTGGTAGCGTCTGCATGGCAGTAAGAGTCGATCAGCTGAAGTAAGTCACTCTCAGTAGGAGACATTTTGAGTGCATCCAGGAGTGCCGAGGAAGGGTTCGGATTCGGACAGCCTGCGCGGTGGAAGACGTCCACCAAAGTCTGGTCCGCCAAGGGTTCAAGCCTGGGGTCGGCCGCCACAAAAAGGTGATCCTTCAGCTGCTCTGAATGAGGTAGAGGTGTCCATTTTCTTTTCCTAATAATTAGAATGGGAATTACAATACTATCTATACAATCTATACATGTAAAACCCTGCTGTCCCTCAAGCTCTCGATCCAAAGTGGTGGTCCTTGAGCTGCTCTAACTTCTTGGCAAGGAAGCCCAGCATCCCAGCAAAGAGCGCCACATGCACGGACATCAGCGACCTGGGCAAGGGTTCAGGCCTGAAAGGACCCCAAGCCCGTCGATTACAAGCGTACAGTGCAAGTCTGGGGATGGATCAGGGAGCGTACTCTCTGTCGCTTTGGCTTCCCTCCACTTTCAGTCTACATCAGGCACAAACACCAAGCTGAAAACATGCCTCGGGACTACCGGACCTAAACCCCAAACCCTGAACCCTAATCCCTCGCCCCTAAACGCTACATGCCTTCCGTCCTTGACCACCCCCCAAATATCAAAAAAATGGGATGAAGGCAAGTAAAGCCACTGCAACATGACCGGTGTGCCGGCCGCAGCCCTATCTGCACAGGCCTCACGGAGTTCAGGGTTGTTGGGCAAGCGGGGAGCCCAAGTCTCAAGGCTCAGGGTTTACGATTGGAGGTGTCTTGAAATACCGGGACTGTTCAAGCACATTCCTTCTGAGCATGTCTGGTCATGTGTACTTGTTTGCAGTAGTCTCCTTGTGTGATGTTACGTTTTCCTCACTTCTGTAGGCGCACGCGAAGCCATGAGCACGCCCTTTTATCATGCAACATATGTGTGATGGTCTGATCCCCCGCATGCAGCTGTCGGACCACCTGCACAACAAGACTTCCAAATGTCTTTGGCGTTGTTGAACATCAGTTCCACCTTTTGTGCTGCTGTGTGCCATGGATGCCTCTAGCGTCCTCAACCTGGTCCCTGCAGCTCAGCAAGGACCCTTATGCAACCTAGCGACGGACGTGAAGAAATTCTGTGGTCTCATTAGGGGATGCCATAGGGATCTGATGATACGATCTTGGGATCTGTCGGGGTCATTTTGAGAAATTGCAAGCGCCTCACTTCCAAAGCCTTGGTCGATGCAGGGCAGGAAAAGTTGATCTCCAAGGTGTGAGAGGTCGTTCCTGGACAGTGTATACAATTAGGGCGGAGGCCCACGAGCTACAGCATGCCTTGGGAAGATGCACTGGCTTAGGGGCTTGGGCTGCTTAGGGTTCGGGGATCTGTGATTGAATGCCCAGATCGAGATTCTCCAATGCCGTTGCCAGAGCCAAGGCAGCGTCGGGCTCCAAAAAATCCAGAGTCAATGGCGTGACGATGTCCTGGCTTCTGGTTTCTTAAGTGCCTGGAGTACTAATATCCGTAATAATACTAATGTGCATGACAATATCAAAGCAGTTCGTTTATTTTGACAAGTTCGTTTGTGTTAGCAAGATCGTAAAACGACAACAATGCAAGAACAACAGGCTGCAGATCACCTATAGGTGCGGACAAGGGCTCGTAAACACCCGAAGGCCTAATCCCTAAAAAGTAAACCCTGAACCCTACCCATCATGGTTTCCCAAAATAGGAGCACCCCAAAATAGACCCCAACATACTAGAATGCTCACTACACGGACCACCCATACTTCGCCCATAGTTCGGGGAAACCCCCATATCCCCTAGGACATGACCTCCTTGGGGGAGCCCTTAGGGTACAAACCATGGAGATCCTTGGTGAGCTTCGTGATTTCCAACTGTGTTTCGCGTAGACTCTGTGCTGCCACGGCTTGCCTGGTTTAGGCTTTAGGGTTTAAGGATCATTTTCGGGGTTTAGGAGTTAGGATGAAGGTTTTAGGATTTACGGGTGTAGGGTTTAGGGCACCCAAGAGACCGCAGGCCCTTGGCCATGGGTCAAAGAATTAAGGGGTGAATGGGGAACACGTTGAGCAGCACCCATGCTCAGGGTTTAGGGTTTAGGGTTTAGGTTTAGGGGTTTAGGGTTTAGGTTCACGCGGTTCAGGACTTACAGGTCGTGTATGAGTGAAGGTGAAGGTTTATGTAAAAAAAGGATCGGGGAGAACGGTCTCTGTGGATGCTCAGATGTGGGAGGAATCATTAGGAATCTTCCCATACAGTACGACAGCATTGGGCCCTTTGTATGTTGGGAATAATAAATGAACCATTAGTTCATTTGGATTGCGCTGTTTTTTGCAGGGCCACTTGCATGTGCTAGTTGAGAGTTGGGTCGTCTGACAGGCAGAATCTATGTGACACTTGCTTCGAATGTATTGCATGTGTGTGCCTGCTCTGTGTTTGGGCGTGCGTGATAATTGTCTCCGATGTATTCGACGGTGTTTGTTTGCCCTTCTTTTGGGCATCAGTAGCAGAAGTAAGATTTTTTCAGCAATATTGATTGTAACACTACGAACACAAAATCACCAATACTACTAAGAAAACCATTGGCAGGAACGGCGTCTGAAAAACGAATTAGTAGCAATCCCCCTGTTGTGGTTACAAGTTTCATCATTGAATCATAACAGGAGATTTTAGAGTCAGCCGTGGTGGCGGTAGTTATAATACTACGAATAATGTAATAATGTAATGCTAATTGTAATAATGTAATACTAATACGAATAATAATGAAATAATTCAATACACGAATACTAATTATACTGGAAAAATTTAATACCGTCGTGCGCACGCCCGGGCGACCAGCAGCTTTCAGGCGCATGTCGCAATACAAACAAAACTAAATCACACTAAAGATGTGGGGAAAGCCCCCCCCGGCCCCACACACTTAGGGTTTAGGGTTTAGGGGTGTTCCATAAAAGATTGCTCTCCGTGCTCGCCGCCCGTTTAGCAGCTTTAGCTGCTGTGGTGCTCTGCTCATGTATGAGTGTCTTCCCTACACGCCTCCGGACTACCTCCATTTTGGACCTACTTGCGCTCTTGCATTTCTTGCCACGCAAATGTCAGCTGGTTTCGCAGGGGCAGTAGTTTCGTGACCTCAGTCTGGATGTTGAGACCTTTCAATCTGCCAATGGAACCCGTTTTGTGGTTTGCTTGCCATCACGAAGTTTCTTGTTGCCTTGGGCCTCAACACGCTTGGGGTTGTAGCACACATGCAAGGCGCGCATTATGTCCCCTAGGTCGAGGCCTCTGTTGCACAGGTATTTAAGATTGAAGCAAGAGCTCCCTGAACTCCAAGCCCTGATAAACCCGTAGATCTTGACGAGCTGCTGGATCAGGTCCACAGTTTCCCTCATGATCTCGGACTTGATCTCGCGCTTGAACTTTGCCAGCCTGAGGGGGTCGAGGGTTTCCTACAGTTTCCCGATTACCGCTGAGCAAGGGTTGGCTGGGCGTTGAAGGGTTGAAGCCTTTAGGCTCTTAGGTTTGAGGAATGTAAGGGTTCGGGGTTTAGGGTTTTGGTTTTTATGTGCGCCTGTGGTCCAGGATCTTGTCAAGATCCCTGGCCGTTAAATACTCCGGCTCTGGATCTGCCATGAACCTTGGTTAATTGGGGCAAGGTACCCATTACAAATGGATTACGAATACCTAAGCTAGACATAGAACAGGCGGTGTCCACCACCTGTGACATCTTGCGCATCTAAGGAACATTTCAATGCCTAGGATTTGAAGCGATCGATCTGACCGAGGATGTCCGCCGAGGTCTCGATGCCGATCTTGCCAAACTCCCATGCAGTCTCGTCCCAGTCCTCCTTGAAATTTTCAAAAGGGCCTCCTTCCATCAAGGTGCCATCTTGGCCATCCTCCGCCAAAATGGACCCTGCACCGATCAAGCCCACAATCATGGAGGCACCAGCTGCCCATTGCGTGTGCTTGCGGACGCGCTTCTCTTTGGCAGCATCAGTATCGGTCTCGGTCTGCAGCAAACGTGCCAGCTGCGTCCTGTAAGCAACTTTGGTCTTCAATCCATTGCCAATGACCGTTGTGTTGGCTTTGGTGTGGTTGACTGCAAGAGATTGACTCCATGGAGAGGAGCTGTTGTTTCGGAGTCCTGCTGAGCTTGCCTGACAACTCAAAGCAAAGGTCAGCCACAACAAAGACATGCGAACGGCCAACATGGCAGGCACCGGGAGCAGGACAGGGCTCAAAAACGACTTGCTATGTCGACTTGAGATATTGCAGGCCAAATTGCACGCAACTCACTTCCAGAAGAAATGTCTAACGTAATGCTGCGGCACGCTTGCACATGACCGCCCATTCCGCCAAGCACTATTTGCACAGATGCTCTTGGACTTTGTCGCCCAGGTGGAGATGTTCCTGAATCAAAGGAAGCTGCCGTAAATCAACATTCTGCAAGTCAGTCGGACTTTGATGATTTCTGGACATATGCTGCTTTTGTTGGCAGCCTTATGTTTTTCCTTTGAAATGTCCAGTTCGGTATCTGCCTGGCCCGCACAGTAGCCATACGGGTACCCCATTGGGCCCCAAGTACATACCATATCCTTACGTGAGCTACAAACAACAATCCCCCCAAAATACCCAATCTTAATGGTGACTTGGTAAACCTAACACACATAGACCTTGGGCCGCCAACCTCCTTCCCGCGCTGGCAGTAGTTCTGCCGCTCGTAGGGGTGCGTTGCAATGCACTGGTCGTAGATCTCCTGCAGACGAATCCGAAGTTGGCACTCTGGGCCCCAAATATGGGCCCAGAAAACCCTGCACCAATGATCAAGGATCATTACACCGAAGCAGGAGAGTAGTGGCGCCTTGTCGCTGCGAGTGAACTCCTCTCTCTGCCGGGCCTCGCAGCCTCGGTATTGCTCGATGGGGCCCAAGGCCCACTCCTGCACCGGATGTTGGGGTTTAGGGTTTAGAGGGTTTCAGTGGTTTTCCCTACATAAACGCTATATGAACCCTATAATCCCTGTATAGCTTCCATGTTCTTTTCCATGATCCCCATAGAGCTGGGTCTGGGATGCGGGTTTGCTCTGGTAGTGGGGTGGATTGATGTGTCGACGCTTAGGGCTGAAACCGGCCATGAAATAAATAGTTTGACAGGCTGCTGGCATTATAGCAGTTTCCGCGAGGACCTTGATTGAAGTGAGCAGGGTAGCGCATCATCAGGAGTTTTTGAATATGGTGGTTTCCATGAATAAAGGAGCCCTACTAGAGACCCGAAAATACTATGATCACTACTACGGGAAACCCCGGAAACCCCCATGTTTCTTGCACGGGTGACGCCTCTCTGTGGGCAATCCTTGATTTCGCTTTCACTTTCAGGTTGACACCCATGGACCCAAGATGGCCCAAGTCGAGATTGGCCTGGGGTTCCTAAGGTTGCAGCCATGGGCCTCTAGTATGGGCCCTTAACCCTGGATCCTCATATACTTGCTATATACCCTATATGTACCCTTAAGGGTCCTTAGAGGGTTGGGTGTGAAACGAAAGCTTTTCCTTCGGAGTCCATCTCAGGGATGTAGCCAAAGCCAAATTCAGATTGTGGTATTTGGACCGTAAATCCCCAGTAATTGGGCACCTGGACCCTAAGGATTTTACAGCCAAGGTTGCATTCCATAACTTAATAACCCTACCCCCTGAACCCCGAAACCCTAAACCCGAACACGCAGCCGGTTAGTTTCCACGAGAAAACCTATGACTTCCTCAGACTTTTTACTGGTGGTTTGTAGGGAATAATAAGGGAATAAAATCCGTATGTGTTCCCGTATTTTCTACGATCCCCTAAACCCTAAATAGTAATCTCCATCCATTAGGCCTATATAACCCTATATTATACCCGTACATTCCTTTATTCCCTCCTGAGAACCAGTAAGTTTTATTGTGGAATTCTAGCTCCGCACGCGCCTTGCTTGAACGGCAATATTGACAAAGGGTTTCGGGTATAGGGTTTGGAAGTCGCAACACCCTCCTGCTCCCCGCGAGCAACTCTGCTCAAAACCCAGCATGGAGCATCCGGGAATGACTAATTTGTTCAGCTGTGCGGTCCTTATGGTTTCCTATTGTAGTGGAATGTTCTTAACAAAGTCAGTATACTTACACTGCTACTAAGTCTTGCCCTAAAGCCTTTTTTTACTAACGCAGGACACTGAGCGCCTTGCATCCTGAACCCGAACCCACCCCCAACAAAATCCATGCCCAAAACATAGATTCACTCCTCACTCCCAACCCTAAGCCCACTCTAGCCGGGCTTTCGCAATCTTCCTGGCCCACTATGCCAAAACTCGAAATTAAAAATCCCGAAGGCCATCCCCATGTCACCACCCAGCCTGGTCTGTTGCACCTGCACAGAGCAAGTCTGGCTGATTTGAGATCAGCACGTAATCTTTCAGCTCCTGCAGGGTTCTAATTCTAGGGTGGAGGGTTAAGACCTTGGGGTATAACAGCCACAATCTAAACATCTTTTCATTCAAGGGGTTATAGAAGGGATTTTGTAGGAATTGCCAGAAGGGTTGTTAAGGGAGATACTGGGAGGTTTTACTACTGCTCAAATTGAGCTTAAGGTCCAGGTTTGGGTTTAGCCTTGTGTGTCAGTACCGTCCGGCCAACCGTCCGACAGGAACTGTGCGCGTCTCTAAATGGGACAAAGCATACTCGCGTATAACACAGTCCATGGACTGTAGCAAACTACCCATGGCTTTGGTTGCTACAGTATGCTTGCTTCTGGCCACGCGCGCTTCCACTCTGCGTGCTCTTTCAACTATGACTGTTTCCAAGCGGGATCTTTAGCTCACTACCAGTGTGGAATCAGAAAGGTTTTTATCGGGGAAGGGACCCTTCAGGAGAAAACTGCTCGCCGCAGGCTGCTTTTGGGGTATTCCTTCAAAGTAAGAGCCCAGGTGATACTCAAGCGTCATCCAAGAGGAACTACACCAAGAGACTACCCTACCTGCGGGGCATACCAAAAATAAAGCTATGTGGCTGTGTCTCACCAATGACTACTACCTGGTTAGGACACCTGGTTCAATTCAGTCTGAACATCCCAGCAGAGCATACCGTAGTTTTACCTCCGCCGGCCTGCACAAACCTCTGACCCACGGAAAACCTAGGACAACAAAATGGTCCTATGTCCTGTAGCCACTGTGCCCGAGGTTCACACACCTGTACGCAAATATGTAAATATCCCTCATCCCTTCATCTTCATAGCTGGCCCCAAGAAGTTTAAAGCCATTGACCTATAGAGGCTATCACCTGGAACCAGGACATTCGCAAGAATATTCAGAATGCTGACGCATAGAATGGCCACGCGAGAGCAACAACAATGAGCGCAGTTCAAACAATAGTTGAAACAGAGGGGCAGCGGTGGCTGGAGCAAACATATTGGAAGGTTCCATAATTAAGGGGTACCCAATGTAGACCCTGAACTGCGATAGTCCTTTCTGTGAGGACAACCAAAAAAGGGATCACTCATTGTTGCGGAAAACTGTCCTGCCTGGATTTTGAACTGAAGCTCCCAGCTTCGGAGATAAATCCCTGCTGTGCAGAGAACGATTGAGAGGCACACGAAGGCGACAAGGACCACCTCAGCAGGATATCCAGAGGACATCCGGGGATTCTGTACTTCTAACACCTACCCGCTGTGGATATTTTTGGGACGAAGAGTACGTACATCTGAGCTTCTTGGAGCAGCGCATTCCCCTCAGAGCGTGTGCTGGCATGCACCGTTGATCTGTGAGGGGTGTTGGGGTATTGGACTTGCCTTGATGCGGACAGGTACTAGCAGCACGGAAAGGGCTCAGTAAGAGATTTGCACACCAGGATGAAACGGATTTTCGGATGCCAACAGGTGCTCATTTGACACCATGGCATTGCAGCCTGTTTATGCCAAAAAGAAACTGGAGAAGCAAATCCTATCTGCTTGAAAGTCTCAAGACTAGTAGTCAAAACTGCTCAGATTGACTCTGGATAACATGCAGCCCTAATCCCTAAACCCTAAGCCCTAAGCCCTGTTGTGTATTTAAGCTATGCCATCCCCAAGAATCCCAGGTCTTTAGCTGGAATTGCATAGGTTTCCCCTCTTGTCTGCCCAAACAGCTACTGTTAAAACCATGCTGGAACTCCAGTAGAACCAGGGTTTAGGGTTTAGGGTTTAGGGCTCATGGGTCTTCATGAAGCCGCAGGAAACTTTTCAGAAGCCCCCCAAAAAAGGGATTCTCGAACAGGGTGTCCAGCGGGACTATGCAAGGAACATTCTGCAAAGCCTCCTTGTCAAAATCATGATCCGTTGTTGGTTACCCCAGAATATGAGGGGCCGTATTATAGTCGGGACACACAAGCCTCATGTCTGACCATCCTCCATATAATCATGAAACCCTGTAAGCCTAAACTCTAAATCCTAAAGACCTTAATCCTAAACGCTTATAAGCTCTGAACCCCAACCCAAAATTCCTAGACCCAGAACACTAAGCCCCATGTAATCCCAAGCGGCTGCTTTGAGGATGGTCGCATTCCGCTGGATCGCATGCGCTGCCCCGGGCCATGCAAGTCCTGGGAACGGTAGCGACAAGGACACACTGCTTG